AAGAATTGGTTACAAAGTCCAGATATGAGGGATTCCGGATATGAGGGATTCCGGATATGAAAGACTGAAACTGATCACTGATGCTTCTTTATACACTAAAATCCCGGTCAACCGGGCTAAGATGGCCTTCCGGATATAAAGAATTTATAACCATGTCCGGATATGAGGTGTTAAATTTAGGTTAAAATAAAAGAACTAAAATCAGGCATACTATTTTATTTTCAATGTCTTATAGTAAACAAAATAAAGTAATGGTGGGTGAAATATAACGGAATTGATTTTAAGAAAAAAGAAATAAATTATGTAATGTTAATGAAAATTCATTAAATTAATTATGCCACGTATGCCAAACAAATAATGTAACTAGATTTTTTTTAATCGCTGTTGCATGATGATTCTTTCTCTTCTAATGTCATTCTCAACTTTTTCTGCATTTCATTTTGCTTTTGTTCTGGAAATCTTATAGAACAGAAGACACTTTTTAACTATGTGTGCGTTATTGAAATCGTCAGAGCTGAATGCTGGTTTTCTTTCCATAAAACTGACAACATTTTCAAATTTTTTTGCAATTTTAGTCCATGTTTCATTACAGTCATGCATATTGTCGCTGTCTTGTTGCAGATATATTTCTTTTACATCCTTTCCTCTTATTTCCATCATCTTTTCTACCAATAGAAGCCATTAGGGATAAATAAGCATAAGCAATTATCCAAAGTAAATTTCCTGAAAAACAGAAAGTTTCAAATCAGTTACATATCAACGAAATATTTCAAATATACTCTTCAAAATCGTGTACGGATATTCGGAATTCCGGATATGAGGCACTCTAGATATGAGAGATTTCGGATATGAGAAATTCCGGATATGAGGGATTCTACTGTATTTGGATAGTTTTTTTTTTTTAATGATTTGTGCTTATCAACTTTTTGCAGGTTATTTAAAGTCAGAAAATTTTTTTTTAGATTGTAATATTTTTGGAGTTAATAAGGGTTTACTGAAGCACGTCCTAATTAGTTAGAGATAGACGAAGGGGAGTCATACCTTCCCAGTAGTATTTTACACGTAAGTGAATATAATGGACCCAACTAGAATTAGAACTCGGCTCACCGGTTTTTAATTCCGAGCTGTTTTCTATTACATCACAAAGAGATCCAAGCGATCATCCATCTTGCTATGAACATGCACAACGTTCTTTATTATCGTTGATCGTACGAGAACCGATGTTTTAACGAGATACGGCCGTAGGCCTGGGAATGTGTAGTAAAATACTGCGGATACGCGACTCTGAAATGCAATAGTACATTTGAATAGTTTCCAATGTATTAGCATAATATTACGAAAATGTCTTAGAAACAAAGAACAATGTACAGAAATATATATCCCCTACTTCGGTAGTGAAGGAATTCTAGTCAATGAAGATCAGACTTGAACCGACAAGTCTCTGGTTCCATAGACGGATGTTGTGAGTACCCTGAACATGGGAGCAATCGGAATTATTTTAAGAAAAATTATGTACATGCCACATATCCTCAAAATCAGAAATAACTGCAATTGCTATGAAATAAAAGGAGTATAGAGGGCTAGGAGAAATGAACACCCATTTGGCGTATTGTGTTGCAGATTTTGTGTAAATGGATGGCTTGAGTTAGAACTAAGAAGTATAGTAAAGACTGTTGGTTGTTTTTAACGGCATATCAACACCTCTATAGTTTATATTATGTTGGTGCAAAAATAATGGCGTAATAATGTCGTTTTTTGACGTTAAAAATACGTCACAAAACGACATTATTACGCCATTATTTTTGCACCAACCTAATAGATTTATATATTTAGCTCAATTGCTTGCTATCAACTACAAATAAAATCTATTGTTGGTCATTTAGATATAAAATGTATTTTTGGTAATTCTTCTATGAAATGTATGATTGGTATATCTTAATATAAAATACATTGCTGTTAATTTTACTTTAAAATTGTATTGTTGGTACTATGAATATCCATTGTTAGTCATTTCGCTATAAATATGTATTGTTAGTAATTAATTTATATTAAAAAAATTATTGCAGATATTTTTACTATAAAAATGTATTTTAATATACTTTTAGGGCGTATTGTTTTTGTTTGGAGTTTCACTATTTAGATGTGACCCTAAAACGTTCCTCCACCCCAGATCCGAAGTGAAGCTGGGAACAACAGCAATTAACAGGTGGTTCTACGCTCTTCAAAATCTCTAATCGAACGGAGACTTTTTGTTAGATTTAGTTTATCATCATACCCAGGACTGGATAGCAAAGAAACAAAGGGGGGTTATATCTGTAAAAAGAAAGCGTGGAGAGGCATAATTATCTAAAAGATAGAATATTTGAATACGTATTTTCTTACAAATGTTTAAAGTTTTAAGGGAAGTACTCGAATTCCCATAAATCTTATCGGACATTTGCTAACGAATAATTTTTACTTGTATTTGACGTTTTTTTTTATGCTATCTGAACATTGCGTGTATACATTTATTACATTGCAAAAGCTTTCTTTGCTGTTTTTATTATTTGTAAAGTATAGCATATATCAAAGAAAACATTCGAATGAACCAAATCAAGATTCTTTTTTTCTTTTTTTTGTGTATAAATATTATAGATATTCTTATTTTCTTACCCCCAACAATTTTTCTTTCGCGTGTCAAGGTGCGAAATCTTTGTACCTGGAAGCATTTTGACTCTAGAAAAGCCAATTATCCGCGAATGTCTTACAGGTTTCCAAATCTATGTGCATTCTTTCTTTCTTTTTTTTCTGCTGTCTATTTTTACCTTGTTGACTATTCGTTAAAAATTCTTCAAAACAAAGTTATTTCTCAGCGCATTCAGGGGGGATAATTATATTTTTATCACAAAGAGGATCACCCTGAAAAGCTGTACAAATATATGAACTGAACGCGCAGAATGTTCCATGGACGGTGAAAAAGGAAATTAGACATTACCTCATGCATTTTCTTTTCTATTACGATTTAACCGTATCTTCACCTTCTCTCCCTTATCCATTTCAATATTTTTCTCCATGCAATTTTTATTTAAACTAGCTGGATTCTTGGAACATTAATGGCTTTTGAAAATGTAGAAACTTGACTAATGCATGGAATAATAAGGCAACACAAAATGAGAACAAAATGTATTGAAACAAGAAAGTGTACACAATATTTACATATAGTCTTTTGTATATTCCTGGGAAGACCGTTCCTGGAGAATGTGTTGACTTAGTCGCAGTCGGGCAGATTCGCTGGATTGAATCTCTTGATTCCTCCCTCTCTTCCCGGTACCAACCGTATTTATATGGTCGGTACTCCACTGTGTAAATTAGGTGGATCCTACCACAACAGACAACGAAGATGCTTCTCATGGGTCTACTTTTATAACTGCTTTCAAGTGTTTCTTCTCATTCTCTTACTTATTCATGCTAATCTTTGTGCCGATTAGATTTACATCTAAGCAGCATTCATAGAAGTGTTAGATGCCTCTGTTCCGCTAAAATTCGTTTACCTGTATCTTCTGATTATTTTCCTTATCCGTCATTCGTATAAATTATACATTCATCTGTTCTTCTAAAACCTGTTACCTGTATTTTCTGATTATTTTCCTTATTCGTCATTCGTACGAATTAGACATTCCTCTGTTCTGCTAAAACCGCTTACCTGTATATTCTGATTCTTTTCCGTATCCCTCATTCGTATAAATTAGACATTCTTCTGTTCAGCTAAAATCGTTTACCTATATATACTCATTCTTTTCCATGTCCTTCATTATTTACTCGTTTCTTTTTTTTACTTAGGCCATCTGGAAGTGTCGTCTCATGTTGTTCTGAAAATAATGTCCGATTTTATAAGCAACAAGTCTTGAATTAGTAAATTAAAAGAATGTTTAAATCAGTTAAAATACGAAACCCGCACATCCATTCAGTTCTGCAACTCACACATTACATGTATCTTTATGCTGGGGTTGTCCCAGATAACGCTAAAAAAGTGGTATACCCTGGAGAAAAAAGGTCCTCAAATTGATAAAAAAAAATTTAATGTGTAAATGTATATGTTAAAATTAAAGAGGGAAGACCAAGATATTTTTTAATCATTTTAAAATTTTTTTTTTCATTTGCAGCATTTTTTAAATTTAGGTTGAAAATCTTTTTTTTTTTAGGTAAAAAATTAGGTAATATTAACATTACTTGTTTTTCCCTGTTTTCAGTTGAAAAAAACACATTGATTTGGAAAATCTTGCAAAAATCAAGTACTTGTTGGATTTTAATGAAACTTTCAGAACTTATTCACAAATGAATGAAATTATTTTAGAAATGTTTGTCTTTTTGAAAGTCATGGTATAAATATATTTTTTTTATATCTGTTACACCCCTCGAACTTAATTTTATGAAAACTTCAAAAATTTATTTTCAAAGCCTGAATTAGTTTTTTCAATTAAATGCACAAGTCTCTGAAGATTCTAAATCATCGATTTTTTTGGTAAAAAAATGCGCAAAATCAGTGATCGTACGAGAATTGGTGTTTCAACGTGATATGGACTTAAGCCCATTACCCCAACCACACATTCAAGCTTACTGTAATTGGTATTCCCAAGCGGTTACCCATGTTGGTAATGACTGGGTTGGACGTTGCTTAACTCTTCGGGATCATACGAGAATCGGTGTTTCAACGTGCTATATCTGTACGCGCTTACCCTACCAGCACATACAAGCTTATAGCAGATGGTATTCCCCATCTGTCACTGATCTTGTACTGGCTAGGCTCAACGTTGCTTAACTTTGATGATCGTACGAGAACCTGTGTTTCAACTTGATATGACCGTAAGTTCTTTTAAAACAACTGCACCTCCAATTTTACTGGACTTGGTATTTCTAAGCATAACCAAGTACAGCCGAAGGTAAACGTTGCTTAACTACGGGGATCGTAGGAGAAACGGTCTCTCAAAGTGATATGGCCGTAAGCACATACAAGTTTACTGTACTTGCTAATTCCTAGCGGTCACCAATCTTGGTACTGTCCAGGCTCAACGTTGTTTAACTTCACTGATCGTACGAGAACCTGTGTTTCAACGCTATATGGCCATAAGCCCGCTTTCTCAAGAGACTTGTCTCCAGAGAATGATATACAAGACGCGAATTAAGAGCAAAACTGAGGCAGGAGTGAGTAATATCTCCTTGAAACACAGGGATCAATTGTTCATGTGAGATCTCCAGCTTTTAAGTGAAACCTTTCATTATATCCGTCCTGTAGAGGCAATTGAAATGTATCTGCCGCGTAGAAAAAGATCACCGAACATAATTCTTAAACTCTAGAGGCGAACTGGACAATATTAAGGATTTTGGGGTTCAATGCAATATCTTATTTCCACTTAGAATACCGTTTCCACCCGGAGGAATCTTGGAGCCTTTGAGTATTAGATATTGTACCATCGTAGTTAGTTGATTATATATTCACTAGTTAATTCTTACCGCCAAGAAATATATGCACCCATGCATATAACGGGTGTAAAAGCAAAATTGTCCAAATCGTGTAACAGCATTGGATAATTTTCCATCCCAGAAAATGTTTAATATCTAAAAAAAACCCACTGAACTAGTTGTTTTTCGTTTTAGATAAGACGTTTAGCCATCTTTGACACCAGGTGTCGTAAAAATCTCTGAAAGACTCTTTGAGTTACACAGCTAGAGCGAGAACAAGTTTGTGTCTGTTACACTATGTCTTTTCAATTGAAAAATTGTGAGAAGTAAAAGAATATGCTTTCAATAACGCTACCAACATTCGTAATCTGCTTTCCATTTTCAAAATCCATTCAAGAACCATCAAGAGAACGGTGAATAAGTTTTAAAAAGAGGGAACAGTAGAAAGGAAAATTGGATCAGGGGGTCACAACAGCAACAGGGATTATCATTTCAACTGAGAGCTAAATACATTCTTATCGTTCAAAGGAGAGTCCAATAGTGGTTATAACCTCCGAGAATTTCAGTAATCTTTAATTCCTTTAATCATCTCCAAGATATAACGGTTCAGAGCTTAATCTAATATTTGCACAATTTTGCTGTTACACCCGATATATATATATATATATATATATATATATATATATATATATATATATATATATATATAATGAAACTATACATAAATAAAAATATTAATTTTTCATCTCTGGTAGCAAGACATGGATTTTCATGCAGAACTTAATCTTCAGGTGGTGAATATTGCTCTGTGCTTAAAACTCGGAGTCGTTCTAGCGCTGAGGATTGAATATATATATATAAATATATATATATATATATATATATATATATATATATATATATATATATATATATATATATTTAGTGTATTTAGCATATTTTCATTCACACACGTTTCATTAAATAATATAGACAAATTTACATAAAATAAATAGACAACATTTGTCTATATTATTTGATGAAACGTGTATGAATATATATATATATATATATATATATATATATATGAAAATTTCTCCGATTTAACCAGTAGAGAAGACAATATTTATGAATAAAAATGACAATACACGTGACAAATACTGACGTTATTTCAGTTAAAAATATGAAAATAGCGTTTCTCTACATTCCAGTTGCTAGGTACATTTTTTTTTTGTTTTTATTAGTTACTTTGTTCAATTAATTTCATTTTCGTATTTTGCTTTGATAAAGTCCACATTGGACGAAACGCGTCAGCAATTACCAGTTTTCCTATTGTCATTTTTTTTATTATATATATATATATATATATATATATATATATATATATATATATATATATACTTATAGTAGAGCCCGGCGTTGCCCGGGGATATAACAATAAGAGATAGATCAAGTATCCACCATCATAAAGACTGAAAAATAAAATTGACAAAGATTATTGTTTAAGGTTGACGGACACGCATGTCTTAATTAGTGTTTTTTTTTTTTACGAATTGGTCAAACCCAAACTCAAACAAAAACATTGTTTTCAATCGTTATGAGTCTCCCGATTGAATAGAATAATTTTATAAATCTTGTATATCTTATATATCTTGTAAATGGAATTTTTTAAAGTATTCTGAATGTTAAAATTAAAGAAAAAATTGTGCAAGAGAATAAGAAACACTACCTGCCCCCCACCAAAAGTGAAGTTTTGTTTTATCGGCTGAAAAATATAGGAAATCCGATGTGAGTTGTCCCCCTTCCATTTTCACGATGTCTCTTAATCGTGTTTTCAAATTGATTTTGTGCAAAAACAATTATATTTTTCCCATTTTTGGCGCTGTTAGAACCACCACAAGGTAATTTTATGTAGTCCTGTGAAGTTTTGTTGAAATCGGTTGAAAAATGTAGGAAATCCGATCCAATATATACACGTTACAGACACACACAATCTGCGTTTTATATATATATATATATATAAACCCTCCGTCACAATGAATTGTGACTTTGTGCGCGCATAGTTATCGACAGCTCCCAAGGGTTCCTTCTACCCAATTTCACTCACAAGGTTTGGGTCAACGCGTTGTATGTTTTTTCAGGTACTTTCCAAAGGTGCCGCATGTTGGGATCACCCCCTCCAGACCGATAACATCAAGAAGTCTCCTTTCTGACAAATCAATTGTGGTGAGATTCGAACCCGGCTCTCGTGCTCAGAAAGTGAACGTTCTAACTACTCGGCAACTGCTATATCGCAGAAAGAAATGGCAAGCTCATGCAGGAAAAAATCTGCATCGTCAGTCATGTATCGAAAGATACATGATCGCCTAAGCGTGTATCACGTATGGCGCATATCTGACTGACTTGCTAATACCCTTGGGAAAGGTATGAATCCTTTTCTTCTTCCCCCAGCTATAGGTAAATAGCAGGAAAGACCGGGTTCTATATCCTTGGATGGCAACTGGTCTACTGCAGTAAGAAATGGCAACCTACTGCAGGAAAAAATCTGCCTCGTCAGTCATGTATCGAAATATATATGATCGCCTAAGCGTGTATCACGCATGGCACATATTTATTTGCCATACGTGATACACGCTTATTTTCCACCCTCTGGTAGCACACTTCCCAGAAAGAGTGTTATCTTTAAAAACATCTTCCCAAATAAGCCAGATCGACCTTTTTGCTGTTTAGAATATAATTGTTTTTGATGTTATATTCACGGAAAGATCGAAATGATGACACCTTACAAGACATCCACAGTTATTAGTAATTCATTTGATAACAAATAAATTCTATGGTAGATTTCAGAGATACAAAAACAGGTGCTGATTTATCATTTATAATGAAAATGAATTCGCTTTCAGCAAGGCAGAGGTCATATCGGGAATAGTGGTGAGGCAAACGGAATTCCATAGAATGCTTCTCAATTAACTTCGATTACTGAGTGTAATTCTCCAAGTGCATTGCATCTTGGGGCATAAACATTGTCTTCAATGCAAATTCAAATGCAGGAATCAGTCGGTGTTAAATTAGTTGAACACGAAGTGTATCTAACTATAGCAGTTCTTTCAAACAATTTGGCTGTCATGAATACGCTATCAATTGCAATCAAATGGAAACTGGAAAGTTGGCCAGTTCTTTCGAAGAAATATATATATATATATATATATATATATATATATATATATATATGAGATTAACAATAAATAGGAAACGTATAGCAATTTAGCATGATTCGCTTTCATTAAAACTTCGTTAGTTATTTCTCAATCTCTGACGAAGCTTTAGTAAAAGTAAAACGTGTTAAATTGATATAGGTTTCTATTTTTCTTTTCTTATCATCCTGTCGGATCCCGATACATATTTGGTATTTAACTCATCTTCCTCTTCTCTTCATATATATATATATATATATATATATATATATATATATATATATATATGATAAGCAAATATAAATGGATATAAATCCGACAGAATGAAGAAAATATCTGGAAAAACAAAACAAAAATCCTTAAAATGCGATTAAGTTGTTTTAATATGAATGAAATGTCGACGTCTGACGTTTCGGTTTAATAACCTTTTTCAGGACAATATTCATTAAAAATACAATTAACATAATCAGTATAACACGACGAAAACGATGGACATAAAAACAAGTCTTATCCAAAACAGATAAATGAAAATTTTAAATGATCAGCTTTCCGTTGTCGTCAAATGGGCGACGCTTTCACAACGTATTCTTAAAAATTTTATAAATTTGATTCCGATGGAAAGATTTTTCATATATACAGTTCGTTAGAAAATCTTTTCTGTTCTTGTAGGAATACGCGGAGACTAGTAGATTCCTGTATCTTCGGATAAGCATGCAGTCCTCCATGTAATAAAATGAATTCAGGTTTGTATTTCAAACGGAAAGATTTTATAAGGAAAAAAAAACACATGCCTGATGATGGATAGAAGTCTATCCGTAAGTACTAGCATTTTAACATCAAATAAACTGAAAAACTACAGACAACAAGTTTTTCGTCAAGGATCAAAACTCGCACTATGGATGAACAGGATTTTAATGCATATATTATGTTTTCTAGCGATGGATGTCGCCAATAATCGCATTTAATACTTCTGATTAATTCTATGTGTGATTATTCTTTGTATGTAAATCATATGCTGCCTAATGTTTTATGTTTATTATATATATATATATATATATATATATATATATATATATATATATATATATATAATGAGGAGTTTCTAGAAAACTCCCCAGGAAAGTGTGGATTATGAATACTTTGGTGTTTACATACTAGCTCACAAATACGGGATGTGATATCATTTATAGACTAGTATCCCACACTTTCTGCACTATCTGAAATTACACTGGGATTTAGAAAGGACATCAGTTATGATATTGTTGAGAAATCTGTCCAGCAGGATACTAGACAATATCTCGTCTACAACAGAGAGAAAATATTCCACATGGCAAGCCACATAGTTGTCCAATCATCCAAAAAATTGTATTAATAAAGTTAAACCATATTTTCACTTCCACCTTTCAAGATACCAGCAGAGATAACATCCCTACCAGGCAACTATACAGTTTCTTTTATACTATTTTCGACTTGGGAATGGTTTTCTACCATGTGT